TAGTGCTGGCAACTGAAATCGGTTTTTTGGATAGTCGGTTAACCGGTTTCGGATAATTCGGATTTTTATGAAATCCGAAAACCGGTTATTCGGTTATTCGATTCTTCAAATATCCGAAAACCGGTTATCCGGTTATTCGAATCTTCAAATATCCGATTATTCAAATAACCGATTATTCGATGATCTACTTCCTTTTTTTTTTAGACATCGATTTGTCCGATTGCAATTGACCGACTTCCAGATTTTTGTAGACCTTTTTTTTTTAGACAATTTCTCCGGGTCTGTTTTTGTAAAGCACCGATTTTCAGATATCCGGTTTTGGCGATTCAAGTAACGGGTTATTCGAATAACCGGTTTTAGCAACTATTCGACTAACCGGATTTATCTGAAATCGGTTTTTACGGAACCCGGTTAACCGGTTTCACTTTACCAGTACTACATTTATTTACGATTTGCATACATAATAAGCTTTTATTACTCTCTTTCATTTCTAAACAGACTATAGGTATATTATTTTTTTGTACTTATGCTATGATATTTTTTGGTTTGAATATTCTGAATGAATGTAAAAATCTAAGTAAAAACCAGACAGTTTCCCAGTTAAATTTTTAGTACCAACTAAATAAAAACAATTTTCACGCGAATTGGACACCTCTATAAAAAAAGAAACAAAAAACAAAAAGTTATCTAACTGGTGGTATTTAAATGAACAGTTATGTAAAAGTAAAAAATCAAATATTTGGGTGACCATATCTCGAGCACTTTTCATAAAAATTTTTTCAGATAATTCATTAAAATTTGGTACGGAGGTTTTTGGAGATGCTAAATAAAAATAGAGTACAAACTATAAACAACAAATCAGTAATTTATACATTTTTTTTTAATTTTAGAACCGGACGCCTATGAGAAACTAATTTAGTTGCGTCTAAATAATCGTTTTGCAGGTATTTATTTCGTGCCGCGAGTGCGAGGGATATAAGGGTGATTATGTGAAAAGTAAAACACAGTATACAGTATGCAATATCGCAACGCTTTAAATTTGCATAAGTTTTGTCACGGAAACAGTGCCCTTGCTTATGTAATAATTTCAAAGGTTCCACCGAATGCACACAATTAAATTAATCTAGGACGACTAATTCCGACTAATTTAAACAAATGACATAAGCCTGGGCCTGGATTAATGCCGCTTGCCGTCCACTTTGACAAAAAAATGGCTTTAATTTGAAAAAAAAACGTATAATTAACCAAAACATCATTAATTTTCCCACGCTCACCATTACCCAACCGTGTTTGGCATTTGCGCCATCACCCATATTTACGAATTCATTTGTTACCAGCTACATAGAGAAGGTAGGGTAATTAGTTTTGTTTATAACATTTTATTTAGCAAAAGAGCCGCGCCACGATAACAGACAGACCTACATACACATCCTGGTATTAAAAACGTTAATTGCACCTGGTGATTTGTCATACTTTTCTATTAATATACTCGCGTTACGACCAATTAATATGCACCTATCGAGAAAACGTTTAATTTACCTTGATTTTCATACACGCAAGAGACCGTTGCACGGAACATGAACTGGATGAATAAAAAAAAATGCGAAATTACACAATACACTTCTGTAAAACGGCAATAGAATAGCGTTTCCTTTGGCCCCGGCGCAATACAAAGCACACACCCACTTTATTTATAGCATGGAAGAAAATAATTACCTCCGCGAAGCAATTAAAGGCTAATCGTACTCTTAAGCCGTTTCATTATTTGCAAAAGTGAGGCTTAAACGGAATTCCAACCGCTCGTGCGTAGGTAGCGACTAGCAAAAAAGTGCCATCCCGCCGTGACCCACTTAAAAATCTTACTTGACTTCTGGTGGCGACCCACATGGGATCCCCCGGGGCACTGTCCTAAGGGATGCTGCTGGCAGGACGACGAGGTACCCGACGTTCGCTTACGGCCGTCGACTTCGCGCGTGCGGTACCACCGAGCGGTTAGCTAACACTGGTGTCGACTGACAAAAGTGAAATTTGTTGAATGTAAGTGTACGTCTATATTTACGGGTAAACACTGAGCGGAATCGGTCCTCGCCGCCGTGTTTGCTGTTGATAATGGCGAAGGCGGCGGGTATTCGACAATGGGCCGCGGGTGCTTCCGTCAGATTTATCTGTGGTTTGTTTGATTCGAGATAACCGATAAGAGATATCTGCGACTGACGTGTCGTCACTGCTGACTACAAAAACTTTAAGTTCATTTTCTTTTCAACATATTTTAAAGACGATGTGGTTTTAACTGAGCTGTTCAAAATCAGTTTGGACTTATTCTTTTTAGCATTATCTCTAGGAAAAAATGGTATAAGACAAAAGTTTTAGAAAATTTTCTTGTGATTTAATAGGTATAAAAAAAATAATTGACTCGCACTTCGAAGATAAAAACCAAACGTTTGTGTTTTTTAATAGAATTCCGATTCCTTTCTTTTTTTATTACAATGATATATACATATACAGAGTGTTTCAAAACATATATCAGAAAATGAAGGCTGGGATTCTTTGGCTAATTCTAAGAAAAAAAGATTAACATATAGGGCAGGGGTCGGCAAGTAATTTTAGGTGGGGTCCGGATACTTTTGAAAATTTTTAACGAGGTCCAGAAAAAAAATTCATATTTCTTATTTTTATTTTTAATTGGACTCAAATTTAATCTGCTTACTAACCATTAAGAACTAAAAACATACACAATTGTAAAATACTAGAAAAAATGATAAAATTGGCACTTAAACGTAAAAAACATTTTTTAAATAATTTATTTGAGTAATTTATAATTTCAAAAAATTTTTGGCGGTCCAGTATTTTACCGGTCCGGACTTGGACCGCGGTCCGCCAGTTGCCGACCTTTGATATAGGGTGTCAAATAAAATATTTTTTTTTCAGGACAAAATTTGAGTTCTCTATCTCAAACAGTTCCTGAGATATCGTCAAAAAACTGAAAAAAAAAATATATTTTTTTGACACCCTATATCTCGAAAACGGTGCCTTTCGGAGCCATGTTAATATGAACTTTTTTTCTTAGAATCAGCCAAAGAATCACACATTTCATTTTCCGACATATGTTTTGAAACAGCTTGAATAATATACAGGGTTATCCAAAAGTCCCGGTACGGCAGAAAAACTTTCGAAGAAATCATTGTGAGAAAAAATGTTTCAGACAAAAGTGTAAGGATTTTTCCTTGGCTATCTCATGGTGACCTTGGATTTGACCTTGACTTTAACCTTCAGGGTCATTTGAAGGTCAAGTTAAGTTTTTTAAATGGAAACCCCTATTTTTATTGCGGATTTGGAAAGAGCGGAAAATTTCACATCCAAATATGGTATTGACCATGACTTTGACAATGACCTTCAAAGTCAAATGTGGGTCGACTTCCAAAAGTCCCGGTTTGGCAGAACTTTCGAAGAACGCATTTTGGAAAAAAATGTTCCAAACTAAAGTGTAAGGATTTTTCCCAGGCTATCTGATGGCGACCTTGGACTTGACCTTGACTTTGACCTTCAAGGTCATTTGAAGTTAAGTTTTTTAAGTAGGAACCCCTATTTTGTATTGTGGATTTGGAAAGAGCAGGCAATTTTACGTCCAAATATGGTTTTGATCATGACTTTGACAATTACCTTCAAGGTCAAATGTTGGTCGGCTTGACCTTCAAATGACCGTGAAGGTCAAATTCAAGGTCACCATCAGATAGCCAGGGAAAAATCCTTCCACTTTTGTCTGAAAAATTTTAAGTTTTTCTGCCGTACTGGGACTTTTGGATAACCCTGTATGTAAGAGACATTTTTTGTTCCCATTGGCATGCTTTTTCAGAAAATATAATCAATTATTATTTTGCACAGGATCGTACTATTTTTATTTTTTTTTTTTATAAAATAGTCGAAAAGTTTTGATATTACAATATTTTATGGAAACTTGACCCAATATAACGTACATAAAAATTAGTACAAATACCTCTATTATTTTAGGAGATATGTACAGTAAATTATTATTTTTTAACTATTAACACCCTGTATATCGAAAAGGGTTGAGATTTTGAAATAAGTTTATATGACAAAGTATAGTACCATTATTTTTCGTTATACTATCTGCGCCCGAAGTCTCATAGATTAAAACTGAGACACCCTGTATATTTCATTTTATAAATTTGGGCATAGTCCAGTAGGCAGATGTTCAGAAATACATATGTAGTAAGTTTCAATAAACCACAATTTTTTTTTATAAATCGGCCACAAATATGTTATTAAAATCCACGAGCGTCGTATAGTAAGGAAAAAATGTTAATAAATCACGTCAAAAAAAAAATATTTTTCTTCAATATTTCAGTTAGATTGCGAAGAAAGTGTAAGATATCATTATTGTTTTAAATTAAATTTTCTACACGATAGAGCCACACCAATTTTTTTATCGAAAAAAATATTTTCCAATTAACAAAAAGTGACAAAAGATCGATGTTTTTCTTAAAATTGCTGTCAATTTTCTAAAAATTAATTGAGCTTCATGAAACTTCTCTCAAGTCCCTCGCTATTGGACAGATAAGTCGTTGCTGAGCTATTAACAATTATACTTACGATTAGCCAAAAGTAAAAAAATACAGGATGTTAAAAAAATGTATCGCAAACTGGTATGGCCCAGAATATTCAGTAAACTGAACCTAATTTATGATTTATTTAATTTCTTCTTTAAATCCTTGGTACGGCAAAAATTAAAAAAATTGAACTCGACTTAGGGAGACGACAATTATTGATTTTTATAATCTTCAGAATATTTGCATAGTCAGTATCAGTAATAAGTCGTCTATTGTAGCCCTAGTTATCAGAGTATAAAGAAGTTTCTTCTTTTGTACAGGATGTTCTTAAAAGACGGACAAATCAATATCATATTTGAACGAAAAACTTTTTCAAGATTGATATAAGGATTTATTTATTTACTTGCTAGATCATATCGTAAGAATAATAAAATAAAAACTTCACTAATACTAGAATAGAAAAATATTATTTCATAAAAATATGTGTTTACTTTTAAATAATTTACTAGTTTGTTTTTGTTTGATTTTATACTCCGAAAAATATCTTAAATCAAGACAATTAAATCCAATTAAATTAAATCCAATTAAATGGGGCTTTGAAACGTAATTTTGGTCAACTTGCCTGAATTCTTGATATAAGTTTCCGAGGTATATAATAACAAGTGACAGTAATTATTTTTTCAACCCCCGGCCAGGGGTGAAAAAAGGTAAAATAAAGTTTTTTTTTCAGGATCACTCAAAAGGGATAAGAACTAGAATAATTTTTTAATTTTTAATAAAAAAGTTATAACAATTTTTGTTTTACGACAAATGTAAAAAATCGCGTTCGCTTTGTGAAATTGTTATAACTTTTTTATTAAAAATTAAAAATTATATCTATTTCTCTGAAAAGATAGTTTACATTTTTTACAGCAGATTGAAACAAAATTACAAAATTCATTCATTTTACTGCTTGTTATGATTTTTTAATATCTGAAATCATCCCTTAACTTGTAGTCTCCGTAACTCTGTTAATTTTAATAGTACAAGAAAGTCAATAGACAATTTTATGCTCTACAACTTTTATAAGAAACTTTTTTTCTAGCTCTTACCCCTTTGGAGTTATCTTGAAAAACCCCTTTAATTTATCTTTTTTCACCCCTAGCCGGGGGTTGAAAAAAAATTACTGTCACTAAGTTGACCAAAATTATGATTTGAAGGCCCATTTAATTGAACTAATACATTTATCTGCGTTGATAAATTAAAACTAGTGACATGTATTGTCTTAAATAAATATTTTTTTGAGACAAGTTGAGGTTATGATATACTTACTTTGTCAGTAAATAAAAATATGTATATTCTTGATTCAAGATACGTAATTTGTTTTTTCAATGTATGTACTTATATCTACTTTAATTTTGTCTCGAGTCTAATTCAATGACCTTTCATAAATTTTTAAATTTTACTTACATTTTGGATTTCACTTCTAATATGAATGAAATGAATGAATGAAATGAAATTTGTTGAAAAGTAAAATTATGCTATTTTCATAAATATCCACATTGTTTAGACCATAGTTACTGAAATCTTAATGATTTTTTTTACTATATAAAAAGTACTATAAAGGTGCAATCTGAGTAAAAAAATGTCCACTTGATTGATATTTTAATTTACAAATGTTTTGCAAACTAAAACGTCGCATTTGTACGATTAACATTTTAAGAGAAATTTCTAAGAAGTCTACGAAAATAATATAAAAAGCTGCTAAAAAACTAAGCGAAGCATGATGGATTATCCAGGCTCGCAGCATTCATACATACTAATAACCACCAGTAAAAACTAAACATTAACATAAAATTTCAAGACGCAAAATATATTTTCGTGTCCTCCAAAAATATTCAACTTTATTTCTCATTCTACTTCTTTATTTTTATAAGAATGACTGTTCTTGGTGGTCTGGTGGACTTTCCACTAGTCAAATACAGGGACAACTCGGAATAGGTGTATTTTTATAATTTGGAAGATTATCTTTGTGTCTAAGAATAAATTGTTAAAATTAGAACCCAGAACAGATCGATTTCAAACGAAGACTACGTAAAACTATACCCTTACTGTTTAAAGTCATTACCTTGACCATGTTTGCTGTGGTCATAGGACGTGACACATCCAGATTTAGAACCAAGTACTTAAGATAACGCTTCGGAACTTATTCTGATAAGACGTTGTTACAGGGCCCCTAAGTACGAAGATGGTTCTATATTTATTGCTTGTTCGTTTGTTATTACTGATAACGAAGGCAGAATTTCTACATTATGATTATATTATGATTATACTTAGATGATTATTTGGACAAAGGCGTATTTCTATTTCAGATTATTTGAAGAGCCAAAACTAAGGTTCCTTAAATTTACATGTCTACATTATATAAATATTGCTGTTTACTATTGCATTGAAAGAGA